TGATTTATTGACAGTCTTTGGATACAGTGGCTCTACTAGCTACGTATATACCTATTTTTAGTTTAATGAGCCCATAGTAATTTATTCTCTTTTAAAAGACGAAGACTAATTAGAACTTCAAGAAACCTTAAAGATCATCTAGTCTACTTTCTTTCCCCATATTTATATATAGCAGGGAGGGGGGTTAATTTAGAGTGGTTACTTCGTTTACCCAAAGTCATTTACCTGGCAAGAGGCTAAGCTTGTGTTACAGTCAGGTCTCTTGCTTCTTGGCTTGCTTCTACGCTTAGGAGAAACTTAGCCAAATGTCCTGTTGAAAGTAAGATTCCCGATATCTATCATATTTGCCTGAAATTACCAGACTAATCAAGCTCTAAAATTTTATGTACTATGATTTCAAACCTCCATTTAAGACCACAGTTGGGTCAGCCTGCCTGCTAAATTTCAAACAAACCAGCACATCAAGTGAGCCAATCAATTTTCATAAGATACCTTCCTCCTTTTCTTAACAAGGGAAAATAAAATGGGACTCTTCTAACTATTTGATTACGATAATTTAACAATACTGCCATTATAATATACATATACGTTGTGCTATGGGGCATTCAACTAAGGATAAGAGGCCAGGCCAATAAGAATACTGTTCAGAAGGCTACAGACCAGGGTGAATGTAGATAGCTGAAGAACGCTATGTACAATAAAATGAGTCCTTAGGATTTTGCTATTGTTTATTCTTCTCTTTTGTTCCTTTGTTTGTTTTTTGGCATAGCACTTACAGAACAACAAGAATAAACAAGGGAAACCCTTTGCTTTTTGACTTAGCATGGATAGTATTATATTAATAGGTGATAGAAAGAATACAGAATTAGTCCACTTTTTCTTTGTTTCAGTCTTCTCTAACATGGCAAATGATCTTCATGTTGGAAAGGTACGGAGTGGTGGGGTAGTATGATGTAATTAAAAAAAGAAAATGGTCCACTGAATTAACCAACATGAATTTGGATCCAGACTCTTCTCTCATGAGTTACATGATCTTGTACAATTTATTTGCTCTCAGCCTTGCTTCATGATATCAATAGTTCCATCCCCAGAGGGTTAGGAGTATTAAATGAAAAAAGGTATGGAAGGCACTTTGACACAGTAACAGCTTAATAAATGGTAGGTAACAGGGGACAGAAGCCCAAAATAGGTAAGGAAACTGCTAAGAATTCTAAATTAGGCAATCTTTCAAGGCCTAGAAGAATCACATCCCAATATACTAAAATGATTTGTAAAAGCAATAACAATGTTGTTGCCAGTAACCTTTGAGAAGTCATGGAAAATAATAGATATGCCAGACTGTTGCCCCCATTTTCAAAAAAAGCGGAAAAGACGGATTCTCAAAATTTAGTAATTCCAAACAGCCAGTTAGATGTTTTAATCCCTAGGGACACTCCAGATGCATTAAGGATTATGAAACAGATATCCTATATGCAATTGTAAAAGGAAGTTGTGATTGTCGAAACCAGCATTTACTCAAAATCAAGTCATGCTGAAAACAACAAGATTCCCTCTTTTATTTTTGAAGGGGCCAAAAGACTAACCAGAGAAATGCTATAGACATAGTGTATTGGCATTTCAACAGGGAAAGTGACAAATGTTTTATGAATCTTTGATATGTTAATGTCCATTATGACTATCCAGAAGAAGCAACTGAATATGCTACTTTCTGAATTATTTGACCATGGAAGTCATTTTTTTTGGAGAGCACCTAGTAACACCTGAAAGAACTTGGGTTGTGCAGAACATTTTGGGAAACACTAGTCTAGCCTAAAGCTGGACAGTAAGAGTCTGCACTGGTTAGGCAGCCTTTGGTACATTGTGTTTGTTTCCAGACACCAATTTTTTAAAGGAACCCTGACCAACTAGAGCTTGTCCAAAGAAGGAGAGCAGCATAAGGGATTATATAAAGCTATATTGTAAAGGAAATAATTAGGAACCGTTATGGACTGAACGTTTGTACACTCCCCAAATCATATGTTGAAATCTAGACCCCCAATGTGATGGTATTACGAGGGGAGGCCTTTGGGAAGTGATTAGGTCAGGAGGGTAGAGCCCTCTTGAAAGGGATTAGTGCTCACATACAACAGATCCCAGAGCGCTTTCTTGACCCTTCTGACACATAAGAATGCAGTGAGAAGACAGCTGTCTAAGAACCAGGAAATAAGCCCTCACCAGACACCGAATCTGCCAGTGCCTTGATCTTGAACTTCCCAGTTCCAGAAATAAATGTGAGAAATAAATACTTGTTGTTGAAGCCACCCAGTCTATGATATTCTTGTTGTAGTAGCCTGAATGGAGTGAGAACTATGAACTATGGAAGGGACACCTGTAGGAGTAGGGCTGTCCTAAGATCCAATTTCAAGTTTTTCAACGGGTGTTATATGGAGAAGGAATTAGACTCATTCTGTTTAGTTTAAGCAAGCAGAGAGAGGAACACTATGTAGGAGTTACAGGGAGGCAGATTTTGGCTGAATGGAAAGACTTTTGTGAGAGCACTGGTCCTGGGATTTGACAGACTAGAATTACATGCCCAGTCCTGCCACTTCCTCGTTAGGCATCCTTGAGCAAAGGACCCAACCTTAACCTCCCAGAATCTCAGTTTTCCATCTGTAATATAGGGAAGCTTACAGAGGTACTGCAAAGTGAAAGTCCTATACTAAATTTGAAAAGATGCACACAGTTCCTGGCACATAGTAAATGCTCAATAAATGGAATTGTTAGCGGTATTAATAACAATTAGAGTTGCTCAATAATGAAAGAGATGAAGAACATCTGATAGTGGAGAACATCTCAAAAGTGGAAATGCTCAAGCACAATTTTAATCATTTAAAATAATTAAAAGCCTCCCGTGGGCAACACACAACGGAGAGAATAATCATGACTCAGTTCCTGTCTTTATGAGCTGGCAATCATGTGAAGCTGAGTAGGGATGTTGAGGATAGGACAATGTGGACGTCACTCATACAGGGGGTTGCCAGGAGCTGCAGGTGACTTGATGGCACATAACATAACAACAAACAATCACATGGGACTAGCAGGGGAGATAAGGCAAATATATTAATAGACCATAACACAAGGATGAATGCTGTCAAAGTTGTATGAGGCTCAGAAATTAAGAGCATGAGTGCTAATCCTTTTGAGGGAAACATGGAAGGCTTCAGGAAAGTGGCAGCACATGAAGAATGGGGAGCTTTTCAGTGAGTGGGGTAAGAGGGGAAGCCAGCCATTATAGAAGGAGGGACGACTATGAGGGGAGACTATATGCAGGAAGGCATGGGGATATATCCCAAGAAGCCGTGCTTTGAAGGGGTGCAATGGTAAGCCTAAAGGAAAACAGAACAGAAGTCTGGATGACTTGGGAGGGCCACAGAATGAGACTTGGACTTAACTTGGGGAACAGTGAGGAGACAGTAAACATTTTGGAGAAGAGGAGTGACTTTATCAAAACTGTGCTTTAAAACACTGAACTTGGCAGAGACAATAAAATTGACCAGGATCTGTGTGACTCTAACTCAGGAGGGCCAGTAAGAAAAATAGCACTGCAGGTGAAAAAAAAAGAGAATCTCAAGTAGGGTGGAAGCAACGGGAATGGAGACGAAATCCTTAATGAGACACACATGAACAGCAGACTCGGCTGGAGAAGATTTGACGAGTGAGGCAGTTTTCTCCGCAGGAGAAGACTATGTTTCAGTTAAAGGTAGGTTTTAGTAGGAACTTTTCAAGATAAGGTCAAGGAAATTTCTTCTCAGTAGAATAGCACACAGTAGTCCCCTACCAAATATTTGTTCCATAGACAAATACATGAATGAATGATTTGGATTAAGTTCTAAAGACAAGAGTGGAAGATGGTAAGAGAAGAACCCAAAAGCTTGAGAGAGTCAGTTGGAGGAAGGTGAGGCTGGTTGGACAGCAATGGGAGTTAAGAAGTAGCATAGGGGGCCTAGAAGCTAGATTAGGAGTCAGCCAACTTGAGCCCATGGGCCAAATCCAGCCCACAACTCGTTTTTGTGCAGTCCATGAGTTAACAATAACTTTTACATTTTTAAATAATTGAAAAATATCAAAGAAGAGTAATATTTCATGACATGTGAAAATGATAGAAAACAATTTTGTGTCCATAAATAAAAGGATAACTTTTTCGTTGTTTTATTATTGCAGAAGGGACCAGCCTGCACCTTACAGGAGCAGTAACAATGTGCTAAGCACTTTATAAACGTTATCCACATAATTCTCACTACAACCCTAAGAGACATAATTCATTGTTCTCATTTTACTGATGAGCAAACTGAAGCTTACGTTGCAGCCAACGTCACACAGTTCATTAGTGGCAGAGGCAGAAATGACACCCACATCAATCTGCCTTTCCAGACTTCCCATTTTCCCCTGGGATTAAAGCACTGGCTTTAAGACCAGGGAGGCCAGGAAATGCTTATAAAAGAGGGTTGGGGAGTGTGCCAAATGCTTAGAGGGCAGTATTAGAACTGAGTCGGAGGAAGGGGATGGTTTATGTGACGACGCAGTTCTAAGGGATGTGTATGAATTAACTCATTTAATTCTCATAACTCCTCCACTAGTTGGATACTATTATTAAAAGTCCTGTGTTGGATAAGTCGTGGCCTTCTTAAAGACCACCTTCCAGGTAAAAGGCCCAGTGTATAGATACTTTAACACTTTGGGTCTTTTGATGGATGACACCCCTGGGCCTCCAAAGGCTCATCCAACCCTAAGTACCTATGATCCCCTGTTCAGAAGCATTTAGGGAAGGATTCCTATGGAATCCTTTTACCCCGTGTCCTGCATTCCTGCCCTAAGACTCCTCTGGAATCTCCCTCCTTTCCCCCATAGGCTTCTGAGACTTCCTAGCTCATAGTTCTCTGGTTCCTCCCTGATGCTTTCTCTAAAGAGACTGTCCTGAATCACAGCAAGTCCAAGTGCTGAGGGGTGGGGAGGCACGAAGCTCTTCCACAGAAAGCAGGTATGCAGAGGACAATCTTATGTCAAAGATTTCAGCAGCTGTAGATTTCTGAAAGTGGTATCTAGCCTTGTAGCCAGTGTGTTTATTCCTGCCTTTGTCACCTTTCGCCCTTAAAGCAGCCACTTCTCACTTGGAACTGGCTCCTGGCAGCTGCTGTCCTAACAGGAAGTGATTAGAATGCGGTCTGTTTTCACAACTCTCTGAACTTCAGGAGTTTTAAAACAAGTTTCAGCAGTGGATTTACTGCCTTGCTTTATTCTCCCTCTTTCTTATAAAACAACTGTGTAGGGGTTAAAGTTTCAGCACAAAATCCTCCACAAAGACTGACTTAGTTACTCTCCTTACTTAGTAAAGTGACCAGCCCCTCCTGCATATTAAATTTAAAGCTAGCTTGGTTTTTTTTTTTTTTTTTTGGATAGAAATTGGTGGGGGTGGGGAGAGAAAAGGAACTGGGAGGAGAAGGAAGGAGGGAAGTTAAACCTCTTTCCTTCCCTGTCTTTCTCACAAAAGCAAATATGGCATCTTCCATGAGGAGCTTGTTTTCTGACCACAGCAGATACGTTGATTGTTTTCGGAAGTTTCTCGACAATTCCACGGAACACCAGTGCATGCAGGAATTCATGGACAAGAAGCTGCCAGGCATAATAGCAAGGTAACAAAAAAGGACGTTTTTGTCAAAGGGACAAGCCTTGGGCTCGTTTGGTGCAGTGATGGATGGGGCGTGCCAGGCGCGCGGGCTGGGCGCGGGGATAAGAACGCGCTACCGAGAGGCTCGCTCGGCCCCCGCGCCCCCGCGACCCCGCGCCCCTTCCCCTGCGGAGCTTTAGTTAGACCTTCGCTGCAAACGTTCAGAGGCGCCGATTCGTGCAGGATTTCCAGCTGCACGGAGATAAGCGTTAACCATTTGAAGGCATAAATCCACGTTCATTTGGGAGAAGATAAGATACAAATCTTTCAGCTCAGATTTTTCAGCTGCCCCTCCAAATTTTACATTTCAAAAACGTCCCAAACAGTCTAGTATTTTCATTAGAATCAAATATAAGTAATTGCCAAATACTGTTTGCCCCTGAGGGTTGAGAGGGTGCCTCTCAGTTCTCCTAACATCTATTTAAATTCATTTTCCTTATCCATTATTATAGTTATCACTCTCCAAAAAAAAAGAAAAAATGTCGTTTCCTTTCAACTTAATATTAGCAAAAAAGCATTTTCCCATTATCAGTGAAACTCACTAGTTCCTATCCTTCTCTCGCAGACTCCTTTTTTTTGGTGATTAATGTGTTCAATTTGTGCCAGAGCCGATAAGCATTATAAGAGTAACAGATTCCACATGCTAAAGATAATCAAATCACCCATCTGGGGGTGGATTGCTGTAACATACTCTGTTTCAGGAAATAATGATGGAAAACTGGGAAGAAATGACTGTGGATCCAATTTGCAACAGCGAAGGAAACTGATATTTTTATCTTTTACTGGATTTCTCTATTGTAGGCCTAAATTCTTTCACCAGGACAGTACCTCTGCCTGACCAGAACAGGCATTCTTGGATGTATAAGGAATTCTGTTTCCTTTTCTATTTTTCATGGTTCTGTTTTTAAGTGTGATTTTTAAAAATAGAGTATTATAGAATATATTAATAAGTAATAGGATAGTTAAAAGTCAAAGCAGACAGCAAATACAGACAACTTCTTATCTAGGAACTAATTATAGTGTACTTCTTTGGGTCTTTTTGCTCATTTCTAAAATTAGAGGTAATGAGTTAATTTCTGAGTTATTTTGCGGTACTAGACTTCTGTGTTCACGTCTGTAGCTTATCCAGAGCCTTGGTTTCCTTCAGCCATCAGTTTGGTTTGAAGAGGCACCATAGATGGATGTAACATAGTGAATGATGAGCCCTGTCTTCAAAGTGTATACAGTGTAATTGGAGATACTGAATATAGAGTTTATGAAAGACTGAAGAACTTCCAAAGGCATAACTAAGTTTGCATTATAGTGGTAATATATAATTAGGAATGATCTAAATCGAAGTATCATTCATTTGAAAAAGTACTATTTTCCTGAGGGTGATATTTGTAATGAGATTTAGCTGAAGGACCTTTAAAATAGCTGCTTAAAGTTGTTTATAAGTTATAAGTAGGCAACATGCCTGCTTCATTTTTCATTTATAATTTTTTTTAAAAAGCTAATGTTTCTAAAAAGCTTATAACAACAATAACGACAAAAATACTGGTTCCTTGCCCTACTCCCATCCCTGACTCCCACTTTCCAGAAGTGACCACTGTCAACATGCTAAAATCTTTTAGTTGTTTCTTAGGGAATTTTCTTTCCTAATTCTAAATAACACGTTATTCTTCTCCTTCTTAATTTTACTGTATTAAAAGAGCTAAATATACTTGCACATTTCCTTCCCTATCATATCAATATATTTATGTCAAAATTTTTGGCTATATAATTTGTTCATATCATTTTTCCTATGTACATATTATTCATAATTAAACAATGCATTATACTAACAATTACATTTCCTTTCATGTACGGATTTTTCCTTTTCCTAGAGTTAACTATTTTCTTGATTTTAGTTTCTTTTCTTAGTTTTCTATATACTTAACCATTATTTATACACCAAACATAAGTATTAATTTCCTCTCAATATGTTCCAAGTGACCAAGTAATCTGTAATATTTTCCCCGAGAGAACATCTTTTCTGAAGCTCTCTGTTCTTTTATTCCAACCTGAAGTGACTGGCCTTTGGCCTGCTATACAACTACTAATGAGGGAATTTATTTCACCTTCTGGAAATTCTCTTCTCTTCTCTCCAGTATTGGATTCCCTGATTCTGGATCTCATGCCATTCTTTTCTTGGTTTCCTTAGTCTTTTTCTTTTTCTTCAGCTAATCCTTTAAGAGCGTCCCAAGAAGAGTGCATGGGAGGTAAACTTTTCGAGACTTTGTGTGTTTAAAGATGTCTTCACTCCATGCTCATGTTTGTTAGATAGTTTGGGTATAAAACTCTATCCTGAAATGATGTTATATCAGAAATTCAAAGGTAATTTTTCATTGTCTTTTATTTAGCTACTAGAGTTACTGTAGAGAAATCCAATGCCCTTCAAATTCCTCATCTTCGGCTTGTGACATTTTTGTTGTTATTTTGTTTTTCTTTTCTCTACTTAGAAGCTTTCAGGATCTTCTCTTGTATCAAGTATTTGGAAATTTTTAGATAATGAGTTGTGGTGTGGGTCTTTTTCACCCATTTACGTGTGTAGTCCCTGGGCCATTTCAATCAAGATTCAGATCCCTCAGTTCAGGGAAACTTTGCTATTGTTTAATCATTCCTCCCCTCTGTTTTTCTCCTTCTGGAACTTCTAGTCATCAAACACCAGACCTCTAGAACTGATTCTCTAATTTTCTTATATTTCCAGTTTTCTACAATTTTATCTCTCAGCCCCTTTTTATTTTTTGCTATTATATTTTTAATTTACAAGAATGTCCTTTTTTTTTTTATACCATCCTGTTCATCTTTCACAGATGTAATACCTTCTCTTATCTATTATAAAATTTTCCTCTGCTCTCTATATGTCTCTGCTGAGTTCCCTTTTTCTCTTTCTTTTGGTCTCTGTCTCTCACTGTAGTAATTGGATATGGACTCAGCCATATGCTAGGGAATTCTCAGATTCTCTGTTTCCCCAGGGAGGAATCCTTCAGTGATATCTCTGGCTGTGGAGAGGGGATGGTGTAAGTTACAGTAAATAGCTATAAATAGTTGTTGGTTGTTGTTGCATGTAATGGATTTAGATCCTTGCCTGGAAAATAGTAAGTTTTCAGTAATTGTTAGTTATCACTGTAATATGTGAAATGGGATAATAATAATACCTGTTACAGGGGTTGTGAGGATTCAGAGTTAATTCATGTAAATCACATAGTTGTGCCTGGAATAATAATGATTGCTAATATATGTTGAGTGCTTGTCATGTGCAGACACATTTCTAAGAGATTTACATGAATTAAATCATTTAATCCTCACAACACCTCCATAAAAAATACGATTTCAGTCCTATTAGGTAAGTGGTATTATTATCCTGTTTCATAGGTAATAAAGATGTAGGGAAGTTAAACTACTTGCCCAAGGTAACATATAAGGAAGCTGAGATTTCAGTCTGGGTCCTTTCCTGCATAGCCTCATTGTGGTACCCACAGATATAAGCATTTTTAAGAATTAACCAAGAGGATAGATAGGGACGAGTGTATTAGGATGCATGAGCTGGAAGATAATTAGAACCAAGGAAGGCAACTCATTCATAGGTGTCCTTGACTCCTTCCAATTTCCTTAAGAACCTTGCTTCCACCTGTCTTCATCCTATTAGTCTGTGTAGGCTCTTTTACTTCAGCTGCAAAACAGGCTCATTTTCCATCCCAAAGCCCAAACAAATACCATTCTTTCAGTTCATGTTCACCTCTAGCCATCATTCCTTTCTCTGCTCACTCATTCATCCGATTTCAATGATCTCTAGATCTTCCTCTTTAACAAGTTCACTTTGAATCCCACAGCTATCTGACTTCTGCTTTCAATCTTCTTTTAAAACTGCTGTTATCAAAAAGATATTCATATTGCCAAATTCAATGCATATTTTTCCTTTTTTATTTTTTAGTAGTACATTGCCACCTGTGACACTACTGATGGCTTTCTCCTCCTGTAATTGTCCTATCATCCATCTAATTGTCCTACCATCTCTCTGAGCTTTACCATTTTCCTCTACTTTGAATATTCCACATAATCCAGTGACTTTTAAAAGTTGGCATTACATCATCATCCACCACTCTTCTAACAATGTGCCATATCCTTGGGTGGTGGAATCTACTTTCCTAGTTTTGACCATTACTTTATGACAGTAATTCTCCAGAATACATCATTGATCCTGACCTCTGTCTCACCCAGCTTAAATCTTGCCTATCTAAATGTCTGTTGAATTCAGATTTCTCAAAAACAGAAAACAAAAAAAAAGAAAAAAAAAACCCTGACGAAACATAAATTTGCCGCTAAACTATATTCTCCAGCTTCCTTTTTGGCACCACACTTAATTAAGTCATCAAAGCTGGAGACTGGGCAATCACTGTGCACTCGTTGTTTTTCTGACCCCTTTACATCATCTAAAGCAAGTCCCACTGTTGCTTCCCATTGCATCAGTTCCACTCTATTTCTAGTCCTAGAGCTATAATGCTGGGCTTTATTATCTCAGATTCCAAATTGAGAGCAAAGTAGTGTCTTATTCATTTTTATATCCTCAATGCCTAGGATGGGCATATAATAAATGTTTAATAAACCTTTGTTTGTTGAAAGGAAGTTAGCCAGAAGGAAGGATGGAAGGCAGATATCCTGGAGATAGTGGGAATCCCCTTAGCTTTCCCCCCACCTACAATGAATGTCTGATGATATCACTAGACTCAAAGGCCTACTTTTTCTTTTTTTTACATTTAATATTTTCTTTTCTTTTTTAATTGAGGTAACATTGGTTTATAACATTATATAAATTTCAGGTGCATATTATTATATTTTGATTTCTGTGTAGACCACATCATGTTCACCACCTAAAGACTAATTACCATCCGTCATGGTACACATGTGCCCAGTCACCCCTTCCCGCCCCCTGCTTCCCCTCCGGTAACCACCAATCTAATCTCTATGTGTTTATTTGTTGTTGTTGTTATGAGTGAGATCGTATCCTGTTTGACTTTGTCCATCTGACTTATTTCTCTTAGCATACTACTTTTTCTATTCTTGTTCTCCAAACAATCTCTAAACCAATGGTTTTCCTACCTCTGAGAAGTTTATAATGCTGTTTCTAAAAGTCTCCCAGTTAAAGACTGTTAATGAATGGAACCTGTATTTCTACAGGTTGCTCAAGACAACAATATAACCACTGAAATGATTGGGACCTTTCATGTTGGCCTAGTTTTTGTTCACTGTAATTTCAGTCTCTTCTCTTCAACTAAACCTGATAATCAGATTTTACAAAGCACCTAACACATTTTTCTTAAAATACATGCATTTGTTTTTGCAGGATTGGAGACAAAAAGTCAGAAATTAAGATTCTAAGCATTGGCGGAGGTGCAGGTATGAATAACACATTTTAAAAATTTGTATTTCACTCCAAACATCATGTTGTTTGATGGCTATATTGTTCATTCTTTAAGAAAGCTATTTTCCTTTGCTGTTGGAAAAGATTAGCTTATTAAAAGTAAGGGCAATACCACTTCAACTAAGATGAATGCCCCTGTAATTTATAGGATTTGGGACTTCAGCCTTCATTACTATCTGTAATGTGGATAAGATGTGGCTTTCTTTTTTATAAATAGAGAAACATATAGGACATGTTTGGATAACTTTTATCCAAAATGATTTAACTGTTCACAGAAAAGGAAAATTTCGTAATACATTCCTTAAGCTTGCTCCACTTAAAGTGTGGTCCATGGACTGGTTGCTGGTTTGCAAGCTGTTACTGGTCCACAAGGAGATAAGAAGCATGCCCTGGACTGTAAATCAACACACAGCTCCCTTCACTGAAAAAGTACTGTTGTGGGGAAAATATGCTTAATGACATAGACTCTTGTGACCCCACTCTTTGAGTTGCACTGGCCTAAACCATCCCCTTCCTCTGCTCCAGTTTCAATACTGCCCTCTAAGCATTTGACACACTCCCAAACACCCTTTCATAAGCTTTTCCTGGCCTCACTGCTCTTAGAGCCTGTGCTTTGAGCCCAGGGGAAAATGGGAAGTCTGGAAAGGCAGATTGATGTGGGTGTCATTTCTGCCTCTGCCACTAATGAACTGTGTGACGTTGGCTGCAACATAAGCTTTAGTTTGCTCATCAGTAAAATGGGAAAAATGAGTTATATCTCATAGGGTTGTAGTGAGAATTATATTGATGTTTATAAGGTGCTTAGCACATTGTTATTGCTCCTGTAAGGTGCAAGCTGGTCCCTTCTGCAAAAATGAAACAAAAAAGTTCATCTTCAGACTTTGCCTCATATCAAATTCCTGAGTAGTGTTTGCTTTATTTTTTAAGTTGCTAGTAATTTGGAGGTCTGAGTTAATATATTAATATATAAAATATAGTCATATATATTATATTATGTATGTATATATTTATACATATCTTTATTTATTTATTGTTTTCTTTTGAAACAATGACTGAGTGATAGCTTAGTATTGGTTACCACTTGATAAGTGGACACTCCATTACCACTTGTTACACAGTGCCAAGTGGTAACCTCTTGAGTGCTCCAGTGCCACATGAATGAGTGAATTGTGGCACATATTAAAACAAAGGTGGCGCTGGCCTGGTGGTGCAGAGGTTAAGTTAGCACATTCCGCTTTGGTGGCCTGGGGTTCACTGGTTCAGATCCTGGGTGTGGACCCATGTATCACTTGTCAAGCCATGCTGTGGTACACATCCCACATATAAAGTAGAGGAAGATGGGCACGGATGGTAGCTCAGGGCTAATCTTCCTCAAAAAAATAAATAAATAAATAAAACCAAAGGTAACCAAGAGCCCTCTAATAGAATGGGACAGCTAGTCTTTGATGTCATTATTTGTTCAGTTTTTAATAAAATACACTGTGATATAATGTAATAAGGACTAACTCTTAAAATCATTTTACTTTATTATCATCTTTCACCAAGGACACAAAAACCAATAAGAACAAATAATAAAGGATATTGTCATGAATGATCTTATAGAGAGTGTTTAAGCTGAAATTCTCTATTATTGCTTGCCGATATTTTGAGTCCTAAGGACCCTAAGAGTGGTGAACTGCACAGAGTGTCCTGTTAATTCATTTAACCAAGACAGTCATTTCTACTGTGTTTTGCATATGAGTTTCAGGCAAGCAACAGGCAATGAGACTATCATTTGATAGTGTCACTTGTGCTTGGACAAGAAGAGAAGCCCTACAAGGAAAAGTAATTAAAAATAATCTTTATCATGGCCGAGTTAATTGACCTTTTAATATAAAGTTAATTGAATTTCTAATGTAAATTTATACAGATGCTTATAAGCTATCTAGATCAAGGAACATTTGGCCTACACAGTGATTCCTTACATAAAGGTGCACATAGGAGCCAGTACAGAGAACTTATCAAAACAAAGGGGGCAACACTTGCAGTTCTTCTGATTGAGCACTAACATTGTATTAATAACCGGCTCTCCCTTGAGGTGAATATGGGTACCCTCTAAGGTCACTCTTCATGAGAAATTGATCAGAAATATAAGAACTCCAAGAGAAATTCAGGCTATAGATACTTTGCTTTCACTGCTCAAGTAAACTACATGAAATCAAGAGCAATACATTTAAAATCCCTAGGTCTAGATGTCCCTGGCATGAAAGAGCAGTGTTTGGGAAGAGAGGACTCCACACTCAGTTTGAGTGCTCGTATCCCAACTAGGAGATGCTCACCTGATAACCTGTCATTGCCTAACTGCAAACACTGGGCAGAAGAACAATATATTGCAATACAGTGAGGAACTTCCTGTCCTTACCTTAGAGCAATGGTCTCCCCATGTTCCACAATCTACAGTGTGCCTGAGATGTTTTTGCGTTATTCTGCGGCTTGAATATCCTTCCAGATCAGTCACTGAACTCCAGTCTCTGGCAAACAAGGCCATTGGCCCTGTCTGGTACATTGTGCCCAGCTCCCATAATGCATCTTACAGGGGTCTACTTTGGCCTTAGCGTACAGGCCCCTCTTGTTTCACTTCCTAGATGTTCTCTTGGTTGCCCAGACACCTGCAGATCAATCATATTCTGCATATCTTTGGTGCAAATATTCTCTCTGCATTCATAATGGTGCTCCCACTTCTCCCCACCACAATGGAAAAACATACCAAAAGCAATCAAACTAAAAACCCCCTAAATAAAACTGTTGCTTTCATATCACTTGATGCTTATTTTCTTTGAGAGCCTATTTGATTTTCTTTTCAGAAACATGAGCAGGGGGTGCATACACACCCTTTTCTGTTTTCTGCCTTTTTTCTATAGAGGTTAGTGTTTCTGTGGAGAGAGGTTCCACAGTTTAAGAGAGAATCTAAGGTTTTGGAGAAGGGTGTTTGGCAACTCAGTTCAGAAGCCAAGCAAATATTAGGGCTCGGAGTAGTTCAAAAGAAAGGGAGTCGATGGCAAACTTTTTGATGTTGTCTTTAAGCAATCTACCACCTCAGTAAAATATAATCAGTCAGCAGCACTGTTACCCACAGACTATATGTTTACTGTTAGGAAAATGTATGAAATAAATGTTATGTGAACCTGAGAAAAGAGAGAGAGGAAATCAGGAGAAAAACAAATCACAAACGGAAATACAGACCACGTAGCTTTTACAAACCCCAAATTGGGCAGTGTAAAGCCGCGTGTGTATGTGCATGAGTTTGTGTGCTTTAATGCAACACAGTGAGCAGCCAGGATTGCTTTATTCAAGGTATTCATATCATGTTCATTTCAGCAATTGTTTTTAGATATTGACAGCAATTGCATTGTATATCTAAATCTCAGAATATGCTTTTTGGTCCATCTTCCACAATGATGCTTCCTAAAATTAAACCAGCCAATGGAGCTTCATTATTATTCAACTTTTAATGAGTGTTGTCTTTATGCTAGATGGTACATGGAGAAAAAGAAACCCATATTCTTTTTGGTAAGGGAGAATGCTATTAATTTACAGTACATACATTTATGCCTGGAAAAAGGTTTCAGAAGGCAGTAATGGGCAATGTGTTCTCCTTGCTCTGGGCTTTGCTTAAAGGAAAATCATTCTATCTGCTGCATTGTTTAGTTCTTATGTTCAAATGCCAGAAAGTTTTGTAAGGGTTAGACAGGACTATAACTCAAATAATCTCATTTTATCAGCTTTTTTATTAGCCTGTTGTGTACCAACTCAATTGCCACACCATATATAATATAATAGTATATATGTTTGTAGATAATATTTTTTAATCCACTGAAGCAACTCACATATGAAATACAGGTGGTATGAATCCTCTTATAACATTTTTTTGGCAATGATTTTGATGACATATGTTGAGAGCAGTTATGTGGTTTTCCTGTTCTGTAACATATAGACACCAGCATTCCTACAGAGATTAAAAAACAAAAGCGAGTTTAGAGACCAACACCCTCATTTTACAAATAAGAGACCTGAGAACCATGAAGGCAGAACAAGACCCAGGTGTCTGGACCTTAGTCGGTACAACAAATTATACTAAGCAGCTATAGAAGTTAATTATTGACCTGGCAAAGGAGAGATTAGGTACTTAGTAATGACCAGCTATTTGAACAGTCTTATTTTATCAGATTATTAATCTTGTCTCCTTTCATAAGTGACATATTAAGGTGACACTGAAGTTTAATCTTCTACGTTGGTTGGATAGAAGTGGAACAAATGTAATTAGGGCAAGAACTGGAAGAATCAATGTGTCAGCTTTAGAAGCCAGGAGGTAATAAGACACAAAAGTTAATGTGTTCCAGTGGTCTAGAGTAAGACAAAAGTCTGTATCAGCAAATTAGGAATGATTGGGGAAATACTGGGAATTGGTGGATTTTTTTTTGTCCAGAAAAAAAGAATGTGAATGAGTTTATAGCCTTCTTCAGATATTTCCTGTTGAACAAACTACAGAATGGTTGAATTGGGCCAAAGGTTGAGAGATTTCTTGGTTCAGTATTAGAATTTACTAATGATCAAACCTGTTCAGAAATGGAAGCACACATCTTGGGAGATAGTTTATTCTGTCACTCTAGGAGGGCCAGCATAAGCTGGAAAAACACTTTTCAGGCACGCAATAGAAGGGACTCAGGCCCTGATTTCTTGGGTGTTTGGGCCATTAAAAGTACTTTCAGTCCCGAAAATTTATGGTTTTATGAGTAACCTTCTAGAAAGAAGTAGGCATTTCTCCAGAGTGGTGTGGCTAACACCATGTTGACTATATTGAGGAAGTGTAATTTAAATGGGATTTCTGGATAGATGAACACTTTTTAATCTGTATTCTAATTGCTTATAACTTGAAATGAGTAAGAACTATTGTACTCAAGCGCAGCATGCTAGCAGGTACTTCATCACTAGAAGGATATGGACTCTGGTGATTCACTAATCTACAGGCTTTAGGACTGTCTACTTCAGGTAACCGTAGTTTTGGGCCTCAGAAATAAAGTATTGTTAAAGGCATTCATAACCATATTATTAAAAAAAAACAAAACTATTCCTCATATATAATTTTACCAAAATAGTTTCCCCCATTATATTGTATTTAAAACTTTCAGTAAACATGGAAGTATTTTTAAAGACAAATACATTGCTGATTTGAGAGAACTAACATAATGCTGCAACATTGGAACCTTTGTCATTAAAACCAGAGTAAACAAGATTGTTTTGGCTAATTCAATAAGCCTTGAAACAAGAAAACAGGGGATAATGAGCAGAGTGAAGACAAAGCTACCGTTATTTGCAGATTAAATGACTGCATACTTAGAAAAGCCTATAAACTCAGTTGTGCAGCCTTAGCATTAATAAGAATGCAGTAATGACCTGATATAAGTAAAATAGGTAAATAGCAATATGGTAGATCCACATTCTTTTTTTGTTAACATTTGAGTGTTTTTCATTCACAGTTTTGATTATTTACAAGGTACTTGAAAGCCCTGGCATGTGGTTGTCTATAATTTTGCTGAAGGTCAAATTTGTATCTCGCCAGTTCTTGTGCTAGGGTGGGATGCAGACTCTTAATTATTGAATAAGCTTCCACTTAACATACACTATTAAATAAAACTTCGCTATTTAATATACATACACATGCAACCCTGGCGTAGGGGGTCTGTTGTCATCTTCATTTTATAGATGGTGAACCTAATCACATGTGGCACAAGGGGTTTGGGGGTTATGGAGATTGGGGTCAATACCCAGGGTCTTCTGTCACTTTGTCTCTATTAATAACAACAAATTGATAGAAATGAAAAAATATTTGATTAGTTAGCTAATAAGATATTTAATACAAAATATAAGAAACTTATTTGAAGAAAAGTTCAAATTTTTACTGAGAACAATTTGAGAAGGTTTAAAAAGCCAATATGCGATATAGATGAGGTTACAGAGATATGGAAGCTTTCATGTACAAAAGGTAAGGATATGAAATGAAACAAAGTTTTCCTAAAAGTAATGTGGCATTATGTTTCAGTAACAGTTCCTATCTTCATCTAATACACAAAGGCCTGGTCATGCTGATTGTAAAAATATTGACATACTGGCTAAATAGCCACTCCCCTGCTGTCTCATCACAGCTCCAGCTGCTGCTTCAGCCCCTCCTCCTGGACTCCTGGATATCCCCCACCTCCCACTCTGTACCCCTGCCCGCCCCCCACCAAGAGCTCCATCAATTGCACTGGTCTTGTACCCCCATGGGGCCTCTAGGAACATGCTACAGTTCTTCAGCCTGCATCTTTTCTCAGCACCTGGCACCCTTGTCCTTAGGCCTGTTTTTTGTTTTGTTTTGTTTTTTGTTTTTAATATCACTAAAGATCAAGGGTCCAATTCTAACCATTAAATCTGGTTCTCGGAATTAACCTGAAAAAATTAAGATTTTGCACAAAAGTTCATGATTTATTGTCAGGCTGTTCTTAACAGAAAAAAATTTAAAACTAACTATATATAAAAATATATTTCCATATATAAATATATATTCATATATATTTCCACATATATATGTATACATTTACATATACTTAATATAAATGTATACTTTTATTTTATTCATATTTATAAAAGATAATAACCAGTTATACCCATTTTAAAGACTATAGTGTCACCATTACAAAATTCAAACAAATTTTGATATATTCACGGTTTAACTCTCAAGTGAGAACATTAAAATAATCCATATACACAATGATCTCACCTGGGTAGACTAAAGAAAATTATTTACTTGAGAGAAAAAAAACGGAAGAGCTTAGGAGGAAATAAACCAAAACGTTAACTTTTGTTTTCTCTAGTAGTAGATACTTTCTACTTTATACCTTTATCTGTTTCAAGTTTTCTACAGTGTTTATTTTATAGCCCGGAATAGGAACAATAAAACCAGTTAAAACTATAATTTTACAGTTAATGAGAGATGACGGTAGAGAGTAGACTCCCTGACCTCTGACAGCTCCTTCAGCTATTTGGCTGACGCCCAGAGCATTGTTCCGGCACATATGTTTTCATGACAATTTTCCTTCGGCCATTTTTGACTCACGTAATAGTATTTATGCCTGTACAGATACTTTAAGAACAATTTCACGTGTGTTGTAGCTTAGCAGAGCTTTTCTTCAGAGCCTATAGACTCTCCCATGCCTGCTCCGAGTACGTGAGCCATGATGATGAGAGTGCGGGTGATGATCAAGAGGACAGTGGTTGTCCACTGTCTGTTCTTCGAGGTACTTGATGTTTTCCGTTGATGATTTCTTGCTTGTTATTCCACAAGGACAGCAGGCTCTCAGACTCTATTCACAGTAGGGTATGAAGGACTGATAATTTTCCTCAGCAACATTTGGTGTTTCAACCACTATTAACGTGGCAGGCAAATGGAGTGAAGCTCAGATGAGAGACCCTGAAGGTTATTTGAGAGCGCGTGCGCCAGAGCGAGAGCGCGCATGAGTGAGCGCATGCGCACTCATATTGATGACGTCACACCAACTACATGTTTCTCTTGGACTACCCTTGCCACGTCAAGTAGTTTCATTTTATAGTCCTGTCTTTGGGCATGGAGAAGGTAGGAGAAAGTTAGCACTTCATTAAGGGTAACGCAATGTAACTTTTAAACATTACAACATTGTATGTGTAGAATTTACCTCTCTTTCTAGGTATGTGCTGAAGTAGCAGTCAAGTATCTGTTTAAAATTTATAAATTAAAAGTTAACGCAGGATTCAGTCTTTTCTGAGTTGTCTATCAAATTCTCTACACTTCAGTGTTCAGTACACTTTGTGGCATTGTCTCGAAGTTTGTATTTCATGGAACATTTTGGTAATGTGGCTTTTCTTAGGCCTCTTGCAGTTGCAAAGCATTTAGGCAGTATTGTTCCTGGGCCAAGAGCCAGAAGACACAGGAAAGCAAATGGCAATGCCCTTTTGACTCAGAATGTATATGTGTAATCCCTTTCCTGAGGCCCTACACCTTTTTTAATATTCTACTCTCATCTTTCCATACTGACAGAACCGCTTCGATACTGAGGCACCCAGGGGAAAAGAGAGAGAGAGAAGGAGAGAAGAAAAGAAGTGATCTTGTCAAGAATCTTCTCTCTTTCTCGCTGCAGCCCCAAATCAGATTATACTTGCTCTGGTTGCAAACCATAGCTGAAATTATTTTTCATCTCTAAGCACAGAGTTATCTGGTCAATTTTTCTCCCTAGAAACAATTTTTTTGTGCCTGATATTCTAGTAGAGGGAACAAGAAAGATAATAATCTTAATGCAATATGTAATAGAATAAAGTTTTTCCTGCTGATAATCTAAAGAATTCACATATATTTTGATGTGAGAAATGAAGCAAGAATAGATGGAAATCAAAGGGCAGGAGATACAGCCACAGTCTTTAATTCTCCATTTTCTTGACCTGCAGTTTTTCTCATTTGAGGAAGCCCCAGGGCTCTCAAATTGGGATTTGTGTTTCACTTGATGTCAGAAGGACAAGCCATCACGAATACATGAGGAGTGCTCTTCCAAGTTGTCATTTTCATATGGAGCTGCCCATTTAGAAAGGCGAATATTCATTTCCCTCATTCCCAGTCTCCTTCAGACTTCCCTTAAATGTCAACTTTTTTATGAAGCGGACTTGACCACCCAATTGAAAATTGCAAAGCCCCCCATCCATGGTGTCCCCTCGCTCTTTTTTGCCTTGGTTTCCTCCATAGGACTTATCAGCATCCATGAAGGTGGGATATTTTTGTCTGTTTTATTCATTGCTGTGTTTCCAGTGATTAGAAACTTGCATTTAGTAGGTGTCCAAAAATATTTGCTAGATTAATGTATCATACCTTCAATTTATTGAGCAATTACTATATATCATGTACTCTGGTAAATTATCTCCATATAATGCCTCTAACCCTCTAACCTTTAAAATGACCCTGTAGCATAGACCATATTATCCTTAATTTACAGATATGCAATTTAAAGGGGAGAGATATTAACAAATTTGCATAAGATAATTCTGGTGAATACTAAATTTGAGTTCAGTTTCCTGTCTCTCTAGCCTCTAACTTTTCCTTTTCATATTTTTTTTTCCATTTTCAATCGGATGACCTTAGATTTCAAGCAAAAATGTACCATTCCCCTGCCATCTCATTAAATATATCCTTGAAGTTCAGGGAGTGGAGAAAATTTGTCTAGAAGATCAGATCTCCCCCTTTTCTTTGTTTTTGACTTTTTATAAATTCTACTGTCAGAGGTTTCAATTATATGTCCCTCTTTAAATATAGGCATGATGCATTTAAAATATGGCTTGGATGAAAGCAAAGATATTATAACCACAAAAATATCGGACTGTAAAATTAAGTAAAACACTCAACACAGCCCAGAGAGGAGACATGAGATGTAAACCTATAGTTGTGGCTGATTTGAGGGACAAGGTGGTACAAAGGAAAGAGACTTGCAAGGAAGGAGATTTTTTAAAATTTAATTTTCAGGGGCCAGCCTGGTGGCGCAGCGGTTAAGTTCACACGTTCTGCTTTGGTGGCCCGAGTTTTGCCGATTCCAATCCCAGGTGCACACCTATGCACCAATCCTCAAGCCATGCTGTGGCAGGCGTCCCACATATAAAGAAGAAGAAGATGAGCATGGATGTTAGCTCAGGGCCAGTCTTCCTCAGCAAAAAGAGGAGGATTGGCAGCAGATGTTAGCTCAGGGCTAATCTTCCTCAAAAAAAATAAAATAAAATAAAATTTAATTTTCATTTAACTTTCCAAATCAAAAAGTCAGCATATCCTGTTTGAAAGAAAATAACACAGGAGGGAACAAAATAGAAAAAAACCTCACAATCCAGCCTAATAGAAAACAATTTTTGGTTAAAATAAAATTTATTACCTTTTGGGGCTGGCCCTGTGGCCGAGTGGTTAAGTTTGCGTGCTCCGCTGCAGGCAGCCCAGTGTTTCGATGGTTCGAATCCTGGGCGCGGACATGGCACTGCTCATCAAACCATGCTGAGGCAGCGTCCCACATGCCACAACTAAAAGGACCCACAAGGAAGAATATACAACTATGTACCGGGGGGCTTTGGGGAGAAAAAGGAAAAAAATAAAATCTTTAAAAAAAAATTATTATCTTTTGAAGTAATTTATGGCCAGATAACTTCCAAAAATTCACTAATCAATATTTTTCAATGAAAGTTGTTTTTTGTCCTTTATATGCTGTAGTAACCTAAACGATCTATGTACTGTATATTATAGAAGAGGGATCACAGAGGAGCTAAGCTTGGTTGAAGACGTGTTATTTTCCAGGCACATCACTAGGCACATCATATATGTTATCACATTTTATTCTCGTAACTTTATGGGGCTTCATTTCAAAATGAAGATGCTGAAGTTCAGATATTTTGAGGCTCAGATGGTTTAAAATGTGCATCATCAGGTATAGATGGTGGAACTAAGATCTAAGCCCGGGTCTAGTTTTCCCTAAATCCCACAGACTTTCCCTCATATCATAAAACCTCAGCCACCATATCATGCAGGACCTGCCCAATTGCTTATAATTATGTTAGAGAAAGTTTTAGAGTCTTATGTGGTCCAAAACCTGGCAGAGAGCTAACAGAAGGATACACAGATAGCCCAAGGGTTCTCTCTTCCCCAACGTGTTCTCTGCTCTCTGCCCTGGGCTCACTCTCTCCTCTTCTCTCACTACAGCCAGTGACTTTGTACCTTCATTGTTTCTGTACAGGATTCCATCACGACAGTGTGATGATTTATTGCACTAATTGTGGTACCTGTCTCCCTTTACCAATCTGTACATTTTTTCTTCTGTTTTATATTTTGTGTGATATCTGTTACTCATTGCATGCTTTTGTTCACTACTCTACTCTGAAGATTCCCCTATATCACTAGGCGTGCATCTGCTCTGTGGATTCTGGCAGGTAGAGAACCCTGAGTGCTGTGCATCCACCACAACTTTTCTGTCCTACAGTTCGTCTCCATCCTCCTTTCATCACAAGTAAAGCTTTAGTGAATTTCACAATACAGTATCTCCTTATAAAGCTGTGTGAGAATTTCTTTGGATTACGTATATCTCCAAATCCAGAACTCCTGGGTCATGGATATATTCGATTTGAATTAAGTATTTCCAAATTAGTCTCCATAATGGCTGCACAGTCTACATTCTGACCAGTCTCAGTGAAATTTTCTCTATCTGAATATCCCTGGCAGCATTTAGGAATTTTCCAGCTTTCTGCCTTTTTATCAGTCCAATAAGCATAAAGTGATATCTTATTGCAATTTTAATTTTCCTCTCTCTGATTACTGAGTTTGAGCAATTTTTAATATGCCTATTAACTTTAAAAAAATGTATCTCTATAAACCCAATACTTCGGACATTTCCTGGCATATAATAGATCCTTAGTAAATACATGATTGAAAGAAAAGCATTGTAGCATGCAAAATTCTCAAAGTAGCCTTTGGCTTAATCAACTAAATTTTCTTTTGGTGAGGAAGATTGGCCCTGAGCTAACATCTGTTGCCAATCTTCCTCTTTTTGCTTGAGAAAGACTGTTGCTGAGCTAACATCTATGCCAATTTTCCTCTGTTTTGCCTGTGGGACACTGTCTCAGCATGGCTTGAGGAGTGGTGTGTAGGTCCACACCCAGGATCCAAACCTGTGAAGCCTGGGTCGCCGAAGCGGAGTGTGTGAACTTAACCACTACACCACCAGGCGGGCCCCTAATCAATTGGTTTTTGATACTTTCTTCATGTTATCCCCAAGTCTGAACAACAAATAATTATTCCAACTAAGTTTTTGAGCACAATCACTATATTAACCAGTTGTCTGATTTTATGACTAAAGATAGTTCATAATTTTGATATAGAAAAATTAAAATAAAGAAATCTACAAAAACAAATTTAAGAAAATAAGTTATTGGTACAGCTACTGTGGAAAACAGTATGGAGATTTCTCAAAAAATTAAAAATAGAAGTACTAGGGCCCAGCCTGGTGGCATAGTAGTTGAGTTTGTGCACTCTGCTTGGTGGCCCAGGGTTCAAGGGTTTGGATCCTGGGAGCAGACCTACACACTGCTCATCAAGCCATGCTGTGACGGCATCCCACATACAAAATGGAGGAAGATTGGCACAGATGTTAGCTCAGGGATAATCTTCCTAACGAAAAATAAACAAAAAGAACTACCGTATGATCCAGCAATTCCATCTCAGGGTGTTTATCTGGAGGAAATGAAATCACTATCTCAAAGAGATATCTGCTCCTCCATGTTCATTGCAGCGTGATTTATAATGGCCAAGACATGGAAACAACCTAAGTGTCTGTCAACAGATGAGTGGATAAAAATACACAGCCACACACACACACGCAATATTATTCAGCCATAAAAAGAAGGAAATCCTTCCATTTATGACACGATGGGTGAACCTTGAGGGCAAGTGAAATAAGTCCATCAGAGAAAG